TACAATAACCAACGATTAAGCGTTATAACTGCAAGAAACAAGTGAATTTATTTTCGAGTCCACCTTGTCAAGATGAAGAATAATTCGCGACTGCTGCGTAGCGTACAATGAATTTGTTTGCAAAATACTCTGTCTTTATAGTTGGTATCCTAGCTTTCCTTGATTTCCTTAAATTGTGTTTTGGCTGCAAGCACCATGCAGTGATCAGCAATTCATGCTAGAATGTCATCTCATCATGTGGTGAAACGTCTATTTTGATTAAAATTATTATAAAATTTGTTGGCCAATCAGATTGCATTATTAAAAATAAAGTGGATATCTGCAATTATAGCAGATGGTAAATATGATTACAATAATACGTACAAAACAAGAAAAAAGCACCAGCTCTGACTCTCTTTTTGATTTCTGAATAAGGAGCTGAACAAGCAGAAGGTAATTTCATGGTAGTTCAAATAACTAATGGTTTCATGTCGTGTAGAGGCTACTCAGTTTATTTTCAATTTTGCCGTCGATAGTAAAAGAACCTTGAAAATGCGGAAGTAATCCCAACATACTAAAGAACGAGATAGTACAACTGGTGACTAGTGTCTGGCGATTCTAATTTAAAATAACAATTTTTCAAAACGGCCAAGCGGGGTTACAGTACTCCATTTAGAAACAGGAAGTGATGATTGTCTTTATCGTTTAGTCTGTATAGTTACAGGGTCTGAATGGGGTTAACCGACTAGCGACAAATGGACAAAATAACTACTGACATAGCGACAAATTTGAACAAAATTGAGACATTGAGACCCCCCCCCCGCCCCCCATTAAGACCCTGTAGTTAATTTGTGTAAAACATATTCCTCAAAAGTAACAGCAAACAAATAACTATGCAATTATCTTTTCTTTCTCAATGTATCTAATGTGTGCCATGTAGTAATCAATGTCTGGTTTACCAGTTGATATCACTTATTACAGTCAWATATCTTATGTTGACACGCCCAGCTTTCATAGAGAGTAGTATTTTGCGACAATCACCGCCACCCT